GGCCTGGCTGGCTGGCGGACTGCACTGCTGGCTGCGATGGACGGGGGGAGGAGGGGGGTGCTCTCAACGTACAAGTATCCCGTATCATGCATCCCATCCCATCCCCCATTCACACCCATACATACCCCCAGCAGCACTCACTACACTTGACCCCCCCGCCAGCGACGACGCACAACAACGTCAGCAACACGCCGCGACCGCCACACTGCCGCCTGCACGAGGAGTGCCACTCTCGCCGCCGTCTCGCACCATCACTTGACCTCGCTACCTCCATCCACCATAGGAACTCCCTCCCTCCCTCTTTCTCCATCCCCAGCCTCCTCTCCAACCACCTACCCCCATCCACCCTCTCCACCCCCACACAAAACTCCCTACAGCAAGGGCAGGCCGCCCCGCTCCCCCGACCTCGCGCGCACCCACTCCGCGAACGTGACCACGCATCGGAACTAGTGCGCCCAGCCCTATTGGAGTCTTTCATCGGCGCAAGATGAATCCTCACAAAATGGTGAGTCCTTTATCCACCCCCCTGGCCCCTCTCCCACTCCCACCTTCAACCCCCTTGCCCGCGCAAGGACATGCTCCGTGCCCCGCGCTCTCGCACCTAGCGCTTCCCACCCCCGCCCTATGCCGTCATGCCTCCACTGGCTTGAGAATCCGTCGGGCTCGAAGGCGGCGGCGGCGCGTCCCATGACGGGGGGCATCCCTCTCCAATTTGTCTGCTTGTGCGAAGGGCACTCCGGCATGGATGACATACATCCTTTGTCCGGGGGCTGTCAATTGAGCACCCGCGGGGCAACTCTCGTGGAGCAACGGAGGGCCGTCACTGACATGGTCCGGGGGCCGCCCCCGCCCCGCTCCTCCCCCCACGTATATATCCCTTGTCTCGCCTCATGCCGTTGAGACTGTTCCGCACACATTCACCCTTTACGCCTGCATTAACGTCAATCCCCGGATGCGGTTGTGCTGACAATGGCTCTCGCTCTCGTTCAGAACAAGGTCGATATCTCGGTGAGTCGGGGCAGGACTTGGCGAGGCTACCTGTTGGCCCGGCGAGCTCGTCACGGCGAGGCGGGGGGTCAACAGATCATAGAGCTGACAGTGTGACCGGATAGCAAATGAGCGAGCAAGACCAGAAGGCGTTCAAGATGTACGGCAAGGTGCCGGGGAAGAACCTGCTTACCAAGATGCAGAAGGTAGGTTTCACACGCTGTTGACGGATAGCCGCCCATAAGGAATGCACGCAGCTAACAGCCGGTGTGACGTTGCAGGACCGCAAGTACTTTGACTCTGGTGACTACATGATGTCTAAGGCTGGTGTGCCCACCGCGCAACCTTCCGGTACCGCCCACCCTACCCCCGAAGCGTGCGTCCCTCTCCTCCCTCCCCTACACCACGCCCCGCTAACACCCCCGCAGTGTCCCCCACGCGTCCCCACCCACGGGCCAGCCCGCCGGCATTCTGTCCTCATCACCCACCGGCAACGCCCTCCCTTCCCCCGGCATCAACGAGCAGGCCCACTCCCCCACCTCGGAAAAGCCTACTCCGAACGTCGGGGTCGGGATCAGCCCTGCGGCGACGAGCGAGGCGATCGAGATGCCGGGGCATGGGCATAATCATGGGCACCAGCGCCGAGGGAGCGAGAGGTGAGCTGCCGCTGTGTCTTCTTCGCATGGAATCGGCATAGGTACACTGAGCTGACGCGTGGTTTGACTGACAGCAATCACCCACGCATCTCCCCGCCCGGCACGCTCCGCGAGAGCACCAACCCCAGCTCGTACCCCATCCACCACACTACCGGCTTCGGCTCGTCGCCCGTCAAGGCAAGCAGCCTCGCCAAGAGGCTCGACGAGGAGATGGAGCCTTGAGCGTGGGGCAAAGTCTGCGAGGTCGGCGTGAGGGGTCGGTAGGAATGGTAATGGCGAAGCGAAATGGACGAGAAGCGGGGAGCCGGGTCAGAGGATGGCGGGTTCCGGGGGTGTCAAGATATGGGGTCAAGCGTGGAACGGGAAACGAGTGAAACTAGTCCTTTGGGAGATTCGTCGGTAATCATACGTAGTCGCCTATACCTCGTAGGGGCTGGTGGAGCTCGAGTCCTCAAGCCTTGGCAGGTGAAGGCGGTGGTCAGTCAAGTACTCTTTTCGGTTTTCAGAAACACATTTTCTTTTGTTTAAATTGTACTTCTAGCATGCGAGTTTCTCTTCTACCTTATACTGCTAGCAACCAAAAAAGACCCGTCAAATCCAACATCTGTCAACTACAATACAGGACCCGAAAAGATAAAACGTCGCGCGCTAATTTTTTGAGTGGGAGGATAAAGAGTATCAAGTCGTGCTACCAAATCTAGATACAAGAGTTCAATTTGGCGCAATGATCAACAATGGCGGATGGGCGGGGGGTAACCCGGAGGATGATGCGTGGGGGATGGCGGTGGGGATGGAGAAGAGGCGGGACGAGTGGATTACCACCAGTCACCCTGGTCGCGCATGGCATCGGCGACCTTGACGAAGCCCGCGATGTTGGCGCCGCCCACGAGCGAGGGCACGACACCGGCATCGCCGTACTTCTTGCCAGTGTCCCAGCAGGTCTTGTAGCAGGTGACCATGATGTCCTTGAGCTTGGCGTCGACCTCCTCGGGGGTCCACTTGAGCTGCAGGGGCTGTCAGCGAGGAGTTTTGAAAGAGGGAAGGGGGAGGACGTACACGCTGGGAGTTCTGGGCCATCTCAAGACCGGAGACGGCGACACCACCGGCGTTGGCGGCCTTGCCGGGAGCGTAGAAGATGATGCCAGAGTCGGTGAGGGCCTTGGCGGACTTGCGGGAAGCCTCGAAGATCTCGATGGCGTCCAGGGTGCAGCCCCTGCAGATGATCTCATCAGCCGTCGTCCTTGCCATGATAGAGCTCAAGCTAGGACTCACATGTTGGACCCCTCAGCGACGTATCGGACACCAGCCTTGAGGAGGGCCTTGGCCTCCTCGCCGTTGAGCTCGTTCTGGCTCGCCGAGGGGAGAGCCACATCGGCCTTGGCAACGAGGGTCCACGGCCTCTTGCCGGCGTGCCACTCGAACTTGCTGCCAGCGTTGAACGCGGTCAAGCTCTGGCGCTGGAGCTTGATCTCGGCAATGTTGGCGATCTCCTCGGGGGTGAAGCCCTCGTCGCCGGTAGCGACGAGCGCACCGGTAGAGTCGGAGAGGGAGAGGACAGTACCGCCGAGCTCGATGACCTTGAGGGCGGCGTACTGGGCGACGTTGCCCGCACCGGAGAGGAGGACGCGCTTGCCCTTCCAGTCGGTGCCGTCGAGGTCGCGGAGCATCTCCGTGACGTAGTAGACGAGACCGTAGCTGTTCAGCGCTGTCAGCTATGGCTCCGGCGGCGAGCGCTGATGGCCGAGCTAGACTCACCCAGTGGCCTCGGGACGGATGAAGGAACCACCCCAGTGGCCGCCCTTGCCGGTGAGGATACCAGAGAACTCGTTCCTGTACTTCTTGTACGCGCCAAACATGAAGCCGATCTCACGGCCACCGGTACCGATGTCACCGGCGGGGACGTCGGTGTTGTCGCCAATGTGGCGGGAGAGCTCCTGCATGAAGGCGTAGCACTGTCGATGGCTGTCAGCGCGGCTCTCGAGAAGAGAAGGTAGGAAAGTATACTTACGAACTTCCTGATCTCGCCGTCAGACTTGCCCTTGGGGTCAAAGTCGGAACCACCCTTACCACCGCCCATCATGAGGCCGGTAAGAGCGTTCTTGAAGATCTGCTCGAAACCGAGGCTAAAAAAGCCGTCAGCTCACGCACGTGCATGCTGGGACCGAGAAAACACTTACAACTTGAGGATGGAGAGGTTGACAGTGGGGTGGAGACGGAGACCGCCCTTGTAAGGACCGAGGGCGGAGTTGAACTAGGCATCCCGATTAGCTTCGGCGCTACTTTTTTTCTACGCTCCTGCGGGAAGAGCTCAACTCACCTGGACACGGTAACCGCGGTTGACGGCGACGGACCCGTCATCCCTCTCCCAGGTCACACGGAACTGGACGATCCTCTCGGGGATCTGGACGACCTCGAGAGCCCTACGGTACTCGGGGTTCTTGACAAGGAACTGTGTGGGCGCAGCGTCAGCGGGAGTGGAGCGGGCGTGCCAGAGCGCCGGGGAGAGCGCGAAAAAGGGCAAACTTACAGGCTCGAGAGTCTGGGTGATCTCGTCGACGGCCTAGAGGAGGGGCACACAGAGGATCGCGTGAGCACTCCCGTCTGACGGTGGGAAGAAGATGATGGAAGGCGCAGCAGCCCTGGGCGAAAGGAGGTACTCACCTGCTGGAACTCGGGCTCGAGGGGCAAGTTGGACATTGTGGCTGTGGCTGTGTGTGTGAGGCGGTGGTAAGGGGGAGCTGGTGGAATGTGTTTGTGAGAGAGAGAAAGAGAAAGAAGAGCAAAGAGACGGCTTCTCTGACTATATAGCGGCAGGCAAAACTCGGCTCCCCATGCTCCCCCCGCATAATCCCAGTCACCAACAGAAAATCCAATTTTATCCGGCCTATCCACCGGCCGAAACTATTTTCCCTGACTCGATGCGCATCCTGGTTGGCTCACAGCCCAGAGATAAGAGAATCGGTAATAACCCGTGAACGCCGGTGATTCTGATTGGCAGGCCCCACCCATCTGATAAGGCCACCAGACTCGCCCCAGTCTTCCGCCCCAGCCACGGACATGCATCACTCTTCCGCGAAGACACCTCTTCGGCCTAAAATATCCACACGGGCGGAGCTGACAGATGCATGGAGGAGCTGCCACGAAGGCTTGCCACGGGACACCGAAGGCCAGCTTTTGCATGAAGGCAGGCATCTTTGCCATGTGCTCCACGCCGCGGCCAATGAGATTGCCTCTTTTCGCTGGGGCGCTTGCCGCCTCGCGTATCATTTCGGACAGGCGCGGGCCAATAGGAGGGCGGGAGGGAAGATGTTGTTCACCGGGTATATACTTTTGCAATAAACACACTTGCTAAGTTGAGGTTTTATCGTCTAGTGGTTAGGACGTTCGGTTTTGAAATATACTTTCCGATCCGAACGACCTGGGTTCGAGCCCCAGTAAGACCTTTTTTCTTTTTGCATCTTTTTAGGAAGTGCTCTGCTGGCCAACCCGGCGCGCTCTTCTATCGATTGAATTGACAATCGTCTTATTTTTGTTCAGTGTCATGTGAAGTCATGTTTCTACTGGATCGCTTGGGTAGCACGTGCTTGATGTGTGTACTGTGGATGTATACAAGGAGGAACCGTCTACCAGTCTCCATTAGTTTCTTGTCCAGAAGAGATCGATCAGTTGGTCGATAGTGGTATGTGTGGAAAAGGTAGCCCCTTCTTCGGCCCGGCATCGCAAAGTCACATGCACATCCCACAGAGTCTCCTGCACCAGACATCGACAATAAAGACCAGCTTCAGATCCATGCATAGGAAAACAAAAGCCAACCCTCTGATATACAAAGCATCCTGCCAAAGTACCATGAAATCCTTTCCGCCACCAAAGTACCAATGAAATCCACATGTCGAACGATGAGAAGAGCGGCGAAGCGTGCCGCCCAGGAAGGATGAGGTGGGGGGGTTTGTATCGTTCTGTGGTCAACTCGTCAGTGTGACTCGCGAGGCACTGGAGGGAAGGGAGATACGTACAACGCTGCCTGGTTGAAGTATACTACACCCCGAACTCCGTTCCCGGTAAGTACCCAACGTGATATTCACACAACTTTACACAACAAGCTCTGCCGTTCACGCTCATGATCATCAGCTCTGCCGTTCACGCTCATGATCATCTACAAGCTCTGCCGTCGGCCCCACTCCCATACCACGCCGACACCACTTCCTTCACCCTATCGCTCCCATTCCAACTCCTGTCATCCAGCTCCTCCCTCAGAGGTCTCGAGAACTCACAAGTTTACAACATCCCGACCGCCTCGCATCTACTCCTCTACTCCTCCTAGCATTACACATTCCCATCAAGCCACAGCCTACACCTCGCCGTGCACGTTTCTACACAACGATCTTCTGTCAGCTGGGATGTCACGGCAAGTGAGGTGTTTTTGTGTCTTTTGAGGGTGACAGGGGTGGCGAACGGCTTTTTCCCCTTGCAGGTGGGGTGGTCGCAGATCGTGGTCTTTGGCCGATGCTGCGGGGATACACACAGCCAAAGAATCAGCGGATGTACCATAGGAGTGGATTTCTTTCTTTCTTGGACCTCAGCACACATAACACACACCAGTCATGTTTCTTGTTGTACCGGTAATTGCATACTGAGCACAGGTTCGGCCTTGTCGGGTCGTGAACCTTCCTAGAAAAAGATAACACGTCGTTAATGCGCATTCAGAGTTTGGGGCCAGGGTGAAGTTGCATGAAGAGCTTACTTCAGATGCCGGGTCATATGACTACCACGTTTCGTGGTAGAGTGGCACTCGGGGCACTGGAGCTCTGCTCGGTTGTCGTTGTGGCAGTAGCTGATAAACGTCGGGCATGTATCAGCAGAGAAGGACAGGATCCATACAATCTCGACTTACGACAGATGTGTGTCGAGGTCTTTCTTAGTCTTGTAGAGACGGGCGGCGCATTCCTGGCACAAACACGGGATGTCGTACGCATTGTGGGTCCTGCATAATGCTTGGTCAGCGGCTTGCCGAGCAATGGACTGCACAAGACTCACGTCACATGGTGGTGAAGGGTGCGCTTGTCGATAAATAACGCATCGCAAATCCAACATTGTTTGTCGAGCCCAAAACCATCCCCTACCCGGACCATTGCCTCATTCACCAGCCCCTTCGTCACTCCCTCCCACATCTTCCGATCCCTAAAGTTGCAGCGGGACGCCTCCCTGAGGGGGATACTTGTACAGGACTCGCGCCATCCCGCTTGGCCGTACGTGGGGCACTCGCGTAGCCATCCCTCGCGGTACTGACTGCTCGTGAAGGTCCTCAAGAACATGCCTGCGACTTGCTCCCCGAGGGTGACGATCGCGGCGAGACGTGCGACGTAAATCGCTGGGGAGGTTGTCGGGTGGTTTACGAGCCCCCAGAGGGGGACCATCACCAGCTCATCCGCGTACGCCTCCCTGTGCTTGAGGACCTCCTTCGAAAAGTACTCGCTTCTACACTCAGAATCAGCAGCGGTCACCAAAGAGATGATGCAAAGACTCACTGCTCGGTGGTGCCCTCCTTCAGCTCAGCTCGGTGCTTGAGCTCCCGCTTCCCCACCCCCCAGACCATCCTCAGCCCGTGCTTCAGACTCATGCCCACATTCCCGAGCGTCTTCTTCCCCGAGTCTGGCTTCGCCCGGAGTACTTTCATATACACTCCGCGATACGAGCGCGGCACCTGCTCATCCACGCTCCACCCCATGATCTCTTCCAAGCCCGGCAGCTCGCCCTTCGCCGTGCACTCCAGCAGCTTGGGGTTGAATCCAGACTTGAGGGCCTGGACCAGCTCGTTGCGGGGCACACCGCTTCCCCCAGCCAGCAGCTCGTCCCAGAACGTGATCTTGGTCCTCAACCCCATGCTGTAGTCGATCAGGCCGTTGAGGACGGCATCGACTCGGCTGTCACCAGCGGTGGACAGCGGCGGGGACGAGCTCCATGGGCTCGCGAGGTCCTCAAGCCATCTTGGTGGGGTGCAGGGGATCCGCGCTGAGGAGTGCTGGCTGCCTGCGACTGGGTTCGCCGTGGGTTCCGCCGCAGCGGCTGGGTGTGAGGCGGTGGGGAGGAGGGGGAGGAGCGCGGGGCTGGTGGCCGATGATGCGCGCAGCAGCGAGCGAGGGGGCTCACGTGAGTGTAGGAGGCTGGCAGGAGAGCTGCTGGCGAGCTTTGAGGTGATGGAGTCTGTATGCGAGGAAGATGTGAGGGAAAAAGAGAATATCAAGAGCCTGGGTGAGGGAAGAAGCGCACGCCGCCAGCATCCCCCATCGCAGGTCAGTGCGTTGTTATTCTTGCCTCCACCGCTCGTTGTGCTCGGCAGTTCACGCCGCAAAGCTCCTTCGACAAAAGCTCCTCACCCTAATGCATGCACGATATCTCAAGGCCTCTAGCATGGATATCCTACTACCCAATACATGCATCATGGCCTCTCTCCAAGCAGCATACAGAGATACGGTGCTCAACCCGTAAAGTCAATCGCGCGCGTCGCACACCATGGAAATTCAGGGAGGCGCGCGTATCAGTGACGCTTCTTCTTTACCATCGGCGGTTCATAGCACGCGTGAAGCATTCCCACAGCATCAGGCAAAGAGGAGAACTCTGGAACAGAGTTGGGCTGTTGTTCTGTGGTGGTTCTCGGAGGAGACCTCGTGATGGGCAGAAACTGAGACTGTTGTACGTACGGCAAGGCAGCAGGCCGTGGCAGGCGGGGTGCGTGTGTGGGCCGGCGTGGGGTGAGGCCTGTCATGCCTCTCGTCTGTGACTAGGCTCGGGGCTTGCGTCAAACCAGAGGGAGATGCATAAGGACAGATCTCGATGTCCCATGACCAGACAAACCACGTACACGCACCACACACCCGTCAGCTCACATGGTGGATGATGGCAGCATGTCCAACCCCACAGCCTCGCTCACGACACCCCCGCCCCACGGCTTGCGCTGACATAGAACCGTACAAAGTATCAGCCAGCCTCCCAGTACAATGCGATTTGCGAAGCCGAGGCAGTAGAAGTCACGACTGCCATTCTCGCAGATCAAGCGCACACACAAATAATGATCTCTGGGGCAATTACAAAATTATAATTACTAACAAGATTGTAACAATTAGTACTTGAAGCCGCGGCATTAGCCAAGGCGCACCAATCATTAGCCGATGATGCACCAAATCTAAAGGGGCCGGGCCCGGGCGGGGCTTAGTTTTCTAGACACTTCGCGCCAAAACGTATTGTCATCGCACATACACGAGCATAAACAATCGCCTGTTGTCCCTCTCATCGAGCAGACATCGTCGACAAAATGCCCAAGTGCACGAACCAAGGATGCGGGAAGGAGTTTGACGAGGCGAACAACGCCGAGGGGAGCTGCTCTTACCACCCCGGCGGGCCGGTACGTCACCTCCCTCCTCTGTACACTTACACGAGACACGAGCTGACGGACAACGACCCAGGTGTTCCACGAGGGCCTCAAGTCGTGGTGTAAGCTTAAGTGTGTCTATCTCCGTGTCCATGTGCTGATGTTTGTTTGGAAGCTTGCTGCAACGAAATTAGCAAGGTGAGCTCTCGGCGGCTGACTGACTGACGTTCTTCCGTTGGCTAACAACGGTGTGCGCAGCCCGTACTAGAGTTTGACGCCTTCATGGCTATCCCGGTACGGCGCATATTCTTCTCCACGGCCTGCGATATCACTTAGCTTACCAGAGCCACACAGCCATGCGCGACTGGCGTGCATACCTCCGCCCCGCGAGCTACCCCCGCCGCCCCCGCCTCCACTGCCGCGGCACCCACCACCGTCTCCTCTTCCGGCGTAGAGACGTACGGCGCCGCCCCAGCTCCCAAGACCACTCCCTCAGCACAAGCCGCTACGGCCGTCGCGTCAGCTGCGACTCCTCCCCCCGCCGCGCCCGTAAAGGACGAGGAGGACGATCTGAGTAAGCCGGTGCCGGAGAACGCGGGGTGCAAACGGACGGGCTGCGGGGCGAGGTGGGAGGGTGAAGAGATTTCGAGGGGTGAGGGGGAGAAGGCAAAGTGCAGGTATCACCCGCAGGCGGTGAGTGTTCATCTCGGATGTTGGAGTGCGCGTGCTGATGGGGGAGACAGGCGATCTTCCACGAGGGTTCAAAGGGGTATCTTTGCTGTAAGCGGCGGGTACTCGAGTTTGACGAATTCCTCAAGATCGAGGGGTGCAAGGTCGGGAACCACTTGTTTGTCGGGGAGGCCAAGGACGAGGTATGTTGAAGGTGGCTGGGATCCCCATCTCGACAGACGCTAACGGGCATATGCGAACTAGAACAAGGAGGAGATCGTCAGCTGCCGGCTGGATCACTACCAAACGCCTTTACAAGTGCACGTCTCTGCGTTCGCCAAGGGGTACGCATACTTTATTACCCTACGTCAAGAGTGACTACTGACACCAAGTGCACAGCGCGGACAA